TTTTTCCTATCCATGAACATGGTATGTGCTTCCACTTATTTGTATCTTCTTCCATTTCTTTCTTCGGTGTTTTTATTTTCCAAGTATAGGTTTTTTACATCTTTGGTTAGGTTTATTCCTGGGTACTTTATCCTTTTTGAAGCAATTGTGAATGGGATTGTTTTCTTAATTTCCTTCTCTGTTAGTTTATTGTTGGCACATAAAAATAAAACTGATTTCTGGATATTAACTTTGTATCCTGCTTCTTTGCTGAATTCATGTATCAGTTCTAGTAGTTTCTTGGTGGAATCTTTGGGGTTCTCTATATAGAATATCATGTCATCTGCAAATAAAGACAGTTTTACTTCTTCCTTTCCAATTTGGATGCCTTTTATTTCTTTTTGTCTGTTTCCTGTGGCTAGGACTTCCAGGACTATGTTGAGTTAGAGAGGTAAAAGCTGATATCCCTGTGTTATTCCCAGTCTTAAGGGGAACACTTGTAGTTTTTGCCAACTGAGTATGATGTTGGCAGTGGGTTTGTCATATATGACTTTTATTATGTTTAGGTACCTGCCCTTTGTCTCCACTTTGCTGACAGGTTTTACCATAAATGGGTGCTGGATTTTATCAAATGCTTTGTCTGCATCTATTGATATGATCATGTGGTTTTTATCCTCATTTTGTTTATGTGGTGAATCACATTTGTTTATTTGTCGATATTGTGCCAACCTTGCATTCCTTGAATAAACCCCACTTGATCATGGTGTATGATCTTTTTGATTATTGTTGTATTCGTTTTGATAATATTTTATTGAAGATTTTAGCATCTATCTTCATCAGGGGTATTGGACTGTAATTTTCTTTCTTTGTAGTGTATTTACCTGGCTTTGGAATTCAGATAATGTTCCCCTCTTAAAATGAACTTGGGAATGTTCTCTCCTCTTGAATTTTATGAATAGTTTGAGAAGCAGAGGTGGTAGTTCTTCCTGGAATGTTTGGTAAAATTCATCTATGAAACCATCTGGTCTAGGACTTTTGTTTGGAGTTTTTGAATACTGTTTCAATTTCACTAGGTGTAATCTGTTCAAATTCTGATACTTCCTGTTTTAGTTTTGGAAGACTGTATGTTTTTAGGAATTTATCTGTATCATGCAGATTGTCCAATTTGTTGGCATATTGGTTTTTTCATAATTTTTAATTGTTTTTTCTGATTGTTTTTTTGCTTGTTTTTTCTCTTTCATTTCTAATTTTATTTGGGTCCTTGTTCTTTTTTTCTGTATTAGTCTGGTTAAATGTTTGTCAATCTTGTTTATCTTATCAAAGAACCAGCTTTGGATTTATTAATCTTTTGTATCTTTTTTAAAACTATATTTCTTTTATTTCTGCTCTGATCTTTATTTCCTTCCTTCTACTCACTTTAAGTTTTGTTTTTGTTCTTTTTCAAGTTCCTTTTATTGTAAAGTTAGATTGTTTGAGTTTTTTATTATTTTTTGAGATAGGCCTGTAATGCTATGAATTTCACTCTAGGGTTGCTTTCCCTGTGTCCCAAAGATTTTGGATTGTAGTGTTCTCATTTTCATTTGTTTCAAGTTATCTTAATCTCTTTCTTGATCTTATTGTTGACCCATTCATTGTTTAATAACATGTCATTTAGCTTCCATGTCCTTGTGTACGTTTCTACATTCTTGTGATTGATTTCTAATTTCATACCATTGTGGTCAGAAAAAAATGCTTAATGTGATTTTAATCTCATTAAATTTCTTGAGACTTGTTTTGTGTCCTAACATGTGTTCTATCCTAGAGAACGTTTCCTGTGCACTTGAGAAGTGTGTATAGTCTGCTGTTCTAGGGTGAAATGATCCGAAAATATCAATTAAATCCATTTGATCTAGTATGTCAATTAAGGCTATTGTCTCCTTATAGAATTTAGGTCTCAATGATCTATCCAATGAAGTTAATGGGGTGTTAAAATCCCCAACTATGACTGTATTTCTATCAATCTCTATTCTTATGTCCTTCAATATTAGCTTTATGTTGTCCTGAAGGTGTCTTGAGTTCTCCTCATTCTTTTTAATTCTTTTTCTTTTTGCTGCTATGCTTGGATGTTTTTTCTACCTTGTTTTCCAAAACACTGATTCAGTGTTCTGCTTCATCTAACCTACTTTTATTCATTCCAGTGTATTATTTATTTCAGATATTGCATTATTTATTTCTGACTGGCCCTTTTTTATGGTTTCTATATTTTTTCATGCTGTTGAATACGCTTATAATCATTACTCTAAACTCTACATCTGATAAATTGCTTGCCTCCATTGCATTTAGTTCTTCTGGAAGATTCTCTTTTTATTTCATTTGAGGCCTTCTTCATTGTCTTCACATTTTGGCTGCTTCTTTGTGTTTGTTCCTACATATTAGGTAGATATGCAAAGACTCTGGTTTAGAGCTATGTCAGACACTGCCGGTGGCTGTCCCTAAGAAACATGTTTGGAGCTATCTCTGATCTGCAGCCTGTGATTCCCTCTGCTGGTCCTTTCAGTGTGTAGAAAGAACAAGGCTGTATACCAAGGCCATCTTTTACCAGCACCCAGTCTGGGGGAGTGTCTGCTAAGGTCTCAGAGCTCCCAGAGATATGTCTTTGTTGTTACACTTAATCACTGAGATAACCTCTACCTGTAATTCTCAGCAGCCCAGCTTAAACTCCACAGGGTGGATAATTCCTGTGGGTGGGGTAATTCCTGTGGGTGGGGCTATTGTTTCCCTTTAGTCTGATGCCACTTGGAGAAGAGTGCTTTTCCTGAGAAAGATGGCTTATGCAGTATGAAGAATGGCTCAGCACAGGCATCTTGGTAGCTGTTCCTTCATTTCTCTCCCCAGAGTCATGACACCCAGATTCTTCTCACACATTCTAGTCCACTCTGCCCTCCCTCTGCTAGAGCCCAAGGCAAGTGGCTGCAAATGAAATTTTGTGTGTTGATCCTTTAAAAGGCCTTCTGCATCTCTAGCCATCTCTCCCTGACAGACAGGAACCTGCTGCTTTTCACTGCTGGAGGCTATCTGGGCTCTTTTCCTGGCTTTGGTGGTATAGGCTGTGGAGCCTAGCTAGGGAATTAAGCCACATACGTCTCAGGGGGGACCCCCATGAACACTGAAATATCAATCCAGAACTTCAACTGCTACCCATGGGAGCCCAGGCAGCCCTCTCATACCTCCTTTGCACTCCCTATGAGTCACATTATGGTGAAGTTGTTTCTTCTGTCTGTCCTTGGTTATAAGGCTTCTTTCAATCTATTTTTCAGTTGGTTATTCAAGATTCTTTCTCTGTAATTTAGATGTAATTCCAGTTTGGTCCTGGGAGGAGGTTTCTGCAGCTGCTACCTACTCCTCCACCAACTTGGATCTCCAAGAAGTAAATTTACTGAGAGTAGCTGTGTTTTATTCATTTCCATGGCAACTAGCAAAGAGTCTGGATTATTGTTATCTTTTCATTCAATATTTGTAGCATCAAGTAGATGATGCTTTTATCCCAAGGGCATGACAATGATTCTTAAAATAGGTAAATGAGTAATTAAATATTACTGAGAAACCTATAAATTTTGAGAATTCTTGTTTTATATTATTTATGATTAAAAATCTCTTTCTGGCAGCCTCAGGACCAGTACCCCCATTCAATGTGTTTTTCTAGATCTTGTTCTCAATCTCTCTCACAGGATTTCCTCCTTTCTACTTTTCCCACATGTCTCTCCAAAAGACCAAGCTTCCCAAAGCAGAATATTTGAACAAGACCACTTCCCACATCATCAGCCGAGGTTGGTATTTACACTGAAGTAGCTTTGGAATGTAAAGCTGTCCCTATACCTTCTTATTCCACATTGTTTCTTAGAAAAAACAAACAAAATGGTGGGGAGAATAGAGATGGGCAGGAAAAGCTAGCCACCTAAATCAGTATCCCACAAACTCTTACAGGTGTCCTTGTAGAAAATATACAAAAAGAGCACAGTCTTCATGAAGCCCCATTTGGAGACATTTCTGACTAGATTACACGAATGGGGAGGGTCTTGTGATTAAACAGAGAGATTATTGTATTCAAGACAAAGTAGCTTATTTTCTTGCCCCATACTAATATACAATAATTTCATCCCAACTTTAGTCAGCTAAGTGGGGGGAAAAGCTCTCTGTTCATGCCATGCCATGTAGAGGAAACATAAGATAGAGACAAAGTCAAAATAATATTCATGATATCTGAAGTTTAAAATATTTTATTAATAAAAAAGTACAATAATCAAACATAACAAGATTGCTTAATACCCAAGCACACACCCTGCCTGGATGCCACAGAGGGAGACTCTCATTAGGTTAGAACAGAATAACCTCTAAAGTGGCCATGCTAACTGAGCAAATTCTTCAGTATTGCCAGGTGCACAACAGGCTTGTGTATAAGAGATTGTTCATGATCCTAGCTTCAAAGCCATATCTCTGGAGCAAGAACTAGTATAAAAATAGAGGAAAATGGGGTGCTGCTCTAAAGCACTGAAATAACAAGACACAAATATAAGAGTTATAGAGACTAAAGCTTATATACTGTTCTGTAATTTCTTTAAACAAACTAACAATGACAACAATTCAATCAATCCCTTCACTGTGGGCTCCTTATCCTAACACGAAAAAAGAAAGTTTCTGGGACTGCTCTCCTAATGTGACCTCCTGCCAAAAAAACAGGAATGGACAATACTAGGGATTCTTTTTTCTCTTTTTATTCATAAATACAATGAAAACAGCACTGCATACAACATAGTTCAAAAGTAATGTCCAACACAATTACTGACCCTGGGAAACATCTACTGGGAGGGAAGGAGAGTTTTGTAACACTTAACAAAATAGTATCTCTCCCTCTGCCTTAGACTCACCATCAGAACAGGAAATGGAAGGTGAAACCAGAGTTTGTGAATCAAAGAAATATCCTGCCACTGGTATAAACTGCACCCTCTTCCCTCCCACTCCCACCCCAACCACCCCACCGCACTTCCCTCCTATCCATACTGCTCAGAGTACAGTAAAGTGAGGAAAGAGAAAATGTAACTGGTGAAGTTGAAGTAGCCAATATCTGAAGGGCTCTGAAATTGCCTTTGTGCTTCTGACAGGGTGACATGTAATGTGGTCCAGGCAGAGTGAGGAAATGAGAAGAATATAGCTTTTGAAGCAATGGATTTTTGCCTACTTATCTCTTTAGGCCTTAATATGCTTCAAGTCAGGGAAACAGATGAGAATCCTACAGTTAGTAAAAAGGAGAATGTAGGAAAAGTAAAAGTAGGAGAGAAAATAATATTGCTTCCAGTAACCACTCTTCAATTACCCTTATTACTGACTCAAATTTAGCTCTATATCACCCAGAATCCTCCCTTTTTCTAGAGTAAATATATAGGGTACTATAATTATCATCATAGTGATGATCATAATACTTTTTATTCATTTAAGGATCTCCCATCATTTTTGCCAACATCCATTAATAAGAATCCTCACAACCTTCCTGTGAGGTAGATATTTAGATCCCTCTTTTACAGATGGGTTAACTGAGGCACAGAGAGGTGATGTGACTTGCCTAAGGTCAACCATATGAAAGATGGAAAAATATGGAAGAGAGGTAACTTAGGGTAGCACCCTTATTGTCAGAGAGCTGTATTTGCCAGTGAGAAAGGATAATGCTACATTTTTCTCTAAACTGGACACACTTAATTTCTTCTGTGTCCATCTCTCTATGTAACTATTAGCACACTATGTGGGGGATCAATAAACTCCCTAGGCTTATTCAAGGTTAGGTCAATTCCCAATGGTTTGTTTCTTGAGGAAACTTTTTGCAGGCAGGATAGACCCACAACTTCCTGGGGCAAGGAATTCCCTAATTTCTAAATTTTCCAAATCACTGTTTCAAAGAGGTGTTGGGAGTTTTTAAATGTTACTACCATACACATAAGCACTGTGTTCTAGTTGTATCCACAGTGCATAGATTACAAATTCAAACAGTGCTATACATTTATATTATAATTACACAATTAAGGAAATACATGTCAGAATGTAGGTGCCATGTTTCTCACTGCTTGAGTGGAAGATTACACATAAGCAAAGGGAAAAGGCTAGATGATTCATTTGGTAATGGATTGCCATTGGACACATCAGTATGAACTCACATTTGTCTTAATAAAGATATGAAAAATTACATATAGAAATATTTGTAGATATGTGTATTTATACAGGGGTTAGTGTATTCACATATAGTTTGTTGCTCTGTTAGCTAAGATGGCTTAGAAGCAACATGGCCCAGGAGCAACAAGCATAACTAATACCCAGATCTTGGTTTCTAATACAATCTTCCATTAAAAGGAACTAAGACTCCTTAAAGAAATGGCTGAGCATAGGAGAGGGTCAAAAATATATACAAGATGAGCCTGGAGCATCTTGTAGTGCCAGCAAATAAGTATAAGCTAAAAAAATGACGAGGGTCTGTCAAAATTACTCAGGAGTCAACCCCAAAAAAGCACCCAATGGCCAAAGCTAGAACAATTTGAGCATACAACATAAAATTTTATTGGATTATAAAGCAAAGTACAAAGTAAATGTGAGTCCATACTGATACAAGTAAATGATTGCATAAATAAATATATGAGGGAGAAGAGTCAAATCTCCCATGAAGAATTCCAAATAATTTTTTTGTAGACACACTCAAGAATATGGTGCACAACTCAGCACTCCTTTAGTGTGGGCTGCACATAGTGACTTCTTTCCAAAGAGTACAGTATGGGATGTGGAGTAGAGAGTACAGAGGAGAAAGCTGACAAAACACTATCTCAGCCAGGTAATCAAGGTTAACATCAAGGGTATAAGTCATATTAATATGATGTCATGAAAATAGCAGTTTACCTCTACGCTCTTCCTCCCCCAAACCCATAACCTCAGTTGAATCATGAGGAAAGCAATCAGACAAATCTCAGTTGAGGGACATACTCCTCGAAACCATAAAAGTTATAGGAAAAAAGGAAAATCTGAGAAACCATGACAATTAAGAGAAGTGTAAGGAGATAGGACCAGTAAATGTGACACAGTATCTTGAATGGGATGGTAGAATGACCCCCCAAAAAAGATATTAGGTTAAAATTAAGGAAATTTGAATATTTGGACTTGAGTTAATAATGTATCAATATCACTTCATTAATTATAGCAAGTGCACCATATTAATGAAAGATGTGAATACTAGAAAAAACCTGGATGTTGGGTATAGGGAAACTGTAAAATCTTCACAATTTTTCCATATATCTACAACTGTTCCAAAATAAACATTTTATTTAAAAAGAAGTTACCCTCACCAACCTTTCTATCTTACCCACAATTCATTCCCCCTAATCTACCCAGCCAATTCATATTCTTCAGCTTTTCCTGAATTTTCCAATCATAATTATCAATAATAATGTTCAGCTGACAAGTATCTACAGATGGAGGAACTCCACTGCAACAAATCCCAGGTTATTATCCAACCACATCAAATAAGGCCATTTTCCATACCTTAGGCAACTATCCACACAATGGTGCTTTGCTGATGTGAGCACAGCATGTTCAATGAACCCTAAATGCCACTTAAGAGATATGGTTCCTTTTCGTCTTACTGTCTAACAAAATTCTATATGCTTTTGGTGCACTACTGTAGTGTACTGTATTTGAATCACTGTATGGTATGAAATATTCTTAATAAATTTTAACACATTACTTAAAAATGTATAATGATTAGAATAATTTTATTGTTATTTGGAAGGGAGAGGACAATGAGAATAGGATTAAAACTGTTGCCTGACTATAGACAATTAATAAAGCAGTAAAAAAGTCCCTCATTACTTAGCAGAAAAAAAAATTGAATAAAAGCTTAGAGGCGTCAAGGATGTCAATATTTGGAACTTTAATTTGATCATTCTAGTTAGTATAATAGTATGCTTAATATCCTTTATGTATTAATAAATTATATGCTCCAATGCAAAAAATCCTGATGTCTGGGGGGCACAAGACAGTTATGAACTCTGGAAAAGGTTGTCTCAGGATACAAACTCTGGAGAAAATGCGTAAGTCTTTGGACTCTACTGTGAAATACCATATCAACTACTCAATTATAAACTTAAGACAATACATATGATGGTAATTTACCTTTAACAATGTGTCTTAGAGCTACATAAAAGTTCCCTTTCATTCTACAGTGTGAAACTTACATACCAAAAGTCAAAAGTCAAAGGAAAATCTATATCAAAATAACAATGAGAATAATAAAAATCCACACGTCGCTTTGAAAAATACAGGCAGGCCTTAAATTTATAAAGGTTTATGAGCTGGACATGGTAGGTTTAAGTGAGGTAAATCAATTTTGAGATATTATAGAAAGTGTTAGAAGAGAAAAATTGTGTGCCTAATGTTGTACGTCAATGACCACAGGCACACTTTACTTACTATTTAATCAACTGTAAATTATTTTGTGAGTGGTCTAAAGTTTTCTGAAGCATAACATAAAATTGGACAAATACTGCAACCAATTATGTAAAGTTTTCTCTAATTTGGTTTAATAATGTGATCCCTGGAAGAAAGGGTGTACAGGTTTATAAGGCTTCAAGGAAAAATCTGGACAAAGAATATGACCCGTATTTGTCTCATCTGTAAAATATGTATGATGGGTAAGACTAGATGGTTAATAGTATCCCTTATTGGTGCTAGAATTCTATTATTTATTCAGAATGGATAAACCTTGGGAGGTAGTAACCTAAAGTATTTAAGCAGGGACTGGTTGAATATCTGCCAAGGAAAAAGGGGGTCCATATGAAGACAACGTTTAGGAGAGAAGCTAAGTCCAAAGTTAAGTGATGCAAACTCCCATTGCCCCCAGAGAGAGGAAATATGCCATGTGGAGGTAGATCTGAAGTCTAGAGCTTAGAACACAAGATTTTATGTCTCAGAGACTATTATGAAATAGTAAGATTTGGTAACCAAATGTGTATATTATGCAACATGCTGTATGGCTAAAAGAAATGGCTTAGGTGTTCATAGCAGTTGCAGAACATTGAGTTACTTTTTGTATTTCACTTTTCACTAAAAGCCTCTTATATTCCAATTGAAACAGAGGAATGCATGCTAATAATGCCATGGAATGAACAAATATTTTCTACAATCCCTTAGCTTTCTATAACATGGCCCCAGTGTATGATTTCTCATCATGCGTTATAATAGTTGCTTTATGTAAACAAAAGAATAAACAGTACAGTACAGCCCCTTAAGACACTGTCTCAACAGGCTGCCCTTCAAATGAGGTTTGTGATCACAGCACTTTTAGTATCATATCCAAATGAAAGTCTTCCTCTATTTGTTTTCTGGATTATCTTAGTTCTGCTTCTTTCTATCATGATCCAACACACTCTCCTGAAACACCTTTCACCTTACTGGCATGTTGATGTGTGCTTTGAATATTTGTCCTAACACATATTTAACCTAACAATGTGATTGTGCTGTAAAATCTTTAATCTTAAAGAGAAGGGAGAAGGAGAAGGAGACAGACAAAAAAATCCCTTCATTTCCTTTGATGGACTTAGGAAGCAAAAGCACCTGCACTGTCTGAAAACCAAACTGTAAGAACAAACAGAATTGGATTTACAAAGCCTTTCAGTTTTGTATGGGACTCAGTTTATTCACTGAGAATGTGTCCTATGCTCAGGAACCAAATCCATTCTACCAATGAAGTATACTGCTATGCTCTCTTCTGTCTTTAAAAAATTTTATTTTAAAAGTTACCAACCACTCTTAAGTACGGATTCAAAAAAAAAAATACTATGGATAAGAATTCTCAGAAAAAGAAGAGGAAAAAACAGGGGGAAAAAAAGCAGCATATGTATTTTTCACAGCCTTGAGTTGGATTCCCATTTTGTTATTGTAGGAAAAAATGTCCCATCTCCAACCATGGGTGCCGTACTTTTATTCAACCTATGAGGTGGTTGATAAAACTGGGGAGTGGATGGTGGAGAGGTGAAGATGGAATATGAGGAGCCCCCATGGAAAAGCAGTCTCATCAACCTGGCTCAGTGAGCTGCTCCAACCCCATCCCAGAGGCATGCTGAAGTCAAAGTGGAAAAGATGGTTATAACCTCAGTACACACACAGGAATGAGACTAGAATAGCTCTTCTAAGTGTGGACTGTGGAGCTCACATGGTGTCATGGCGCCGGCGATGCAGGGACAGGTGGTCAGAGCGAGAGAAGCTACGGTTGCAGTCTGTGCACCGGAAGGGCTTGATGCCTGTGTGCTTGCGGAAATGGCGGGTAAGCTCATCCGAGCGAGCAAATTTCCAGGAGCAGCCATCCCAGGTGCACTTATAAGGCTTCTCTCCTAAAAAGGAAATATGAAAAACAAAACAAAACAAAACAAGGGGAGTCAGAGAAGAGATGTTTTGATACTAAAAAGATAACAGAGCGTGTAACTTTTTATCAAGACTTTGGTCAAATGGTGAGACAATCACTTTGAAGACATGCTCTCTTTCACCTTTACAGAATTGCTAAACAGAGGCTGAGCTGACAGAGTGCAAAACACATAGGCACTAACTCAAACAAGGCTTTGCTTGAATCCTGGCTCTACTACACACTACCTGTGTGACCTTAAATAAGCAACTTCTCCCTGGCTGGGTCTCTGTTTAATCATCCCTAAAGGCAGATAAAATATCTCACAGGGTTGTTTGACACATTTTCTTTTCTGAACACAGTTAGTAAATGATAAACCTAGGATCCAAATAAAGGTCTTTGACACTTTACACTGAACTACACTGTAGCAACAATATTCTCTCCTCTAATACCTCCCAACAACTAGTCTCAAAGGGAGCCATACACACAGAAAGAACATGTGATTCATTAGAATGAGCCATCAGCTTAGGCTTTCTTCTGTGTAAAGGCAAAAATTAAAGGGCATGGAATGAGGTGAGGAGAAGCATCAAGTCAAACTTTTTGAAATAGTTCATGCTCAGTATTCCCACATTGCATCTGGGTTATGTATGGGATATGTATGCTCTGTATAAAAACTAAAAGAAAAAAGTAATATCATATAAAATAAATTAACACAAGATGATCCCATTAAATCACACACCACATGCCTATACACTCAGAATAAAAGTGATATCAATATTTTTAAATGCAAATTGTGAGAGAAAATATTAACGGTGAATGAATATCTGGAAAGTGAGGATGAAAACTGTGGAAAGAGGACTTCCTCTTTTTACTTTTCTGTATCATTTGAATGTTTTAAACATCATGACATTGTATCTTGGCTATTGTAAGTAATGCTGCAATGAACACACAGATGCATCCTTCTTAGAATTAGTGTTTTCAGTTTCTTTAGAAAAAAAACCAGCAGTGAGATTGTTGGGACATATGGTAATTCTATTTTGAATTTTTTTAAGAACTTCCATAGTAGTTACGCTAGTTTACAATTCCATCAAAATTTTAAAATAAAAGATAAGAAGCTGAAATGAATATCAATTATGGTGAAGTCTAGGTCATAGGATAAGGGTAATGTTTGTTTTCTTTATTATTTAAGTACTGTTGGCACACAATATTGTATTAGTTTCAGGTGTACAACATGATGATTCGATATTTATATACCCTAATATGATCACCACATTAAGTCTGGTAACCATCTCTTTGATTTCTTCTTAATGTGCTTCTCTATTTCCCATCTTCTACAATGAGCATGTATTATTTTGTAATCATAAACAATAATGCAGACAAATGCATTGGTATTATTTTTATACAAGATTTTATGTATTTTTAGAGAGAGGGGAAGGGAAAGAGAAGGAGAGAAACATCAATGTGTGGTTGCCTCTCATGAGCCTCCCACTGTGGACCTGGTCTGCAACCCAGGCATGTGCCTTGACTAGGAATCAAACTGGTGACCCTTGGGTTTGCAGGTTGACACTCAATCCACTGAGCCACACTAGCCAGGGCTGCATTGGTATTCTAATGGTCTCTTTTCCTCTGACTCTTTCTCCCCTTTTCTTTTTACAAATTCTCCAGGACATTTAATTTTATGCTGTCCTAAGTTCGGGTGGCAATCTGGTTTGCACATACTGATTTTTAACTTACTGCTCACCACCTACCAATCCTCTCAAGTGTTTATTAATTAATGATACAACTTTCAAAAAAAAGGGTGACAGAATGGAATTCACTCTGACTCAGGTTTGGACCTTCCTCAGGCAACCATTTTGAGGACTAAAGATGACAATTACTGATCACTTCAATATTCAGAAATTGCTGCTGTAGCTGCTAAAAAGAATGAAATAGAGTTGGATATATTAAGAGCAAAAGATGACCAATAAAATTTTACCAAATACAAAGAGAATACTACTGAAGGTCTACACACAAACACACACACCAACACAGTGGGATTTCATTTATGCTTTCTAAACTTCTGTTTAGATCTCTCTCTCTCTCTCTCTCTCTCTCTCTCTCTCTCTCTCTCTGTCTCACACACACACACACACGCACATGCACACACACACATATACAACAAAGGAAAAATGGTCTGGAAGACTACCCAGCAAATTATTAAAAGTGGGAAGAAGAGTGAGACTGCAGATGATGTTGAGAGTGTGTAAAGGGGAATTTAACTTTTGGTCTATATAATTCCATCCCATCTCCACACCTCCCAACTGCTTCAGTGTTATAAATTTTGTTACAATCGCTCAAAAACTTCTGAGTATTCCTATATTCTCTACACCCAAAAGAAGAAAATTTGACTTGCAAAGCAGTGACACCCTGTGGTGATATAAGCCCATTGCTAGAATACACAATTACTGTTTAGGAATTGAGCAAAAAACATTGATTTTTCTATTTCAAAACAGTTACATTTTATTATCATTGAACAAGCTCCTGTTTGTGCCACTGCACCTCATCAGACACAACTCATGACTCCCTCAACATAGTATCTAAACTGAAGAACAAAACATACACAGGAAATTAATTCATAATATAAGCTGTACATATAAATGTGATATAAGTTTGAAGGCTAGATAATCTGTGAGCTAGTATGAAAGCGCTAAACTGGAAGCATGGGTAGGTTAAGGTGGAACAGAAGGTAAAAAGCAACCCAACCAATTAGGGGCATGGGCTGATAAAGCCCATGAAATGGGCTTTGAAAATGCATATTCTGAAGCATGGAGTATCTTTAAAAAAGTGATGTGAGATGACCCCTATTATAAAGGCAAGACTAAAGAATTTGGATTTTTGTATGAAAGGTAGTGACATACCCAACGGGGGGTGGTGGCAGTGAGATAGTCTGCCTCAGGTATAAACAAAAGGGGGATGCTCTGAATATAATTTTAAAACAATAATAAAATACAGTAAAAGTTAGCTTGCTTTTTTATCATGTTCCAATTATAAACAATGTCAGTAATAAAATCCTCTTTCCTGCCATGACAAATAGTTCCCATAGCCCCCTTCCTCTTGGTACAGCACTGCCTGAAGGCAATGAGGGAGGTAGTGGGTAGCACTGACAATTTTTTAACTCAAGAGTGACTTGGTAAAAGTTGTATATTGGAATGATCTAGCCATGGTATGCAAGATGTATTACAATGAGTAGGAGACTACTAGACCAACCTACTTGTCTGGTATATAAAGAAGGTGCTCAGATGATTTATTATTGTTCTCACAAATAAAAATAGTTTATTCTTTTTTATTGCTGTATAATATTATAGTCTATCTATCTATATATACATGTATATGCATGCATGTATGTATGCATGTATAGAATACATTATACAGCAATAAAAAGAATAAATATTTTCACATATATGTATACATGAAAATACATATATTCATACATGTGTATTTTCATACATGTGTGCATGTATGTACTACATCTTTTTATCCATTCATGGGTGGATCTAGAAGGTATTGTGCAAAAGTGAAATAAGTCAAGTAGAGAAAGACAAATACTGTATGGTTTCACTTAGATGTGTAATCTAAAAACAAATGAACAAACAAAACAAAACAAAACAAAAACAGACTCACAGAAAACAGAGACCAAAGGGATGGTTACCCAAAGGGACGGCGTAGTGGGCTAGGTGGAAAAAGTGAAGGGATGCCCTGGCTGGTGTAACTCAGTGTATTGAGTATGGGCCTACAAACCAAAAAGTGAAGGGATGAAAGAAATACAAATTGTCAGTTACAAAATAGTCACAATGATATAAAGTAGAACATAGGGAATATTGTCAATAATATTGTAATAAAATACATGGAAGCAGGTGGGTAATAAATTTGGGGACTATTCATAAATTATATAAATGTCTAACCACTATGTTGTATACTTGAACCTAATATAATATTAAATATCAAGTGTAATTGAAAAATAAGATTAAAAAAGGGAAAGGAGAATATAGCCCATAATATTGTAAATTTGCAGTGATAGGTGATCACAGAAAAAGTGGGATGATCATATTGTAAAGTATAAAATATCAAATCACTAGATTGCACACCTGAAATTAGTATCACCAATATAATATTGTATACCAACTATACTTAAATTAAAAAAATTAAAAGATAATTATTTATTGAATTGATGAAGGAAACAAGAATAAATGTAACAGAAGATTCAAATTAACAAGTGGGCAGCGACCAGAGGGGAGAGGGAAGGGAACTTAAGGGGAAAAAGGGGGAGGGATTTTGAGGAACAAGTATGAAAGACACAGAGATGAGGACTGGGGGGGGGAATGGGAGGGAGGGGGGAGACCGGGCGGGGGGGTGGGATGGGATGGGAGAAATAGATAAAAAAAAATGTACTTGAAAAGTAACTAAATAAAATTTAATATTAAAAAAATAAAAATAAATTATAAATGAGAGAAGAGACATTACAATAGGTGTCTGAGATATAAAAAATATTTTAAGGGGCAATTACCAACAATTATATGCCCACAAACTAGATAACTCAGAAAAAATGGATAAATTCCTAGAAACATACAACCTACCAAAACTGAATCAAAAAGAGATAGGAAGCCTGAACAAAACAGCAGCAAATAAGGAGATTGAATCAGTAATCAAAAATTTCACAAGAAAAAAAGCCCAGAACCAGAAAATTTCATGGGTGAATTCTACCAGACATTCAAAGAATAATTCATACCAATTCTTTTAAAACCCTTTCAAAAATTAGAAAAAGAAGGAATACTTCCAAATTTATTCTATGAGAACAACATGACCTTGATACCAAAACCAGACAAAGCATGCTACAAGAAAACTATAGATCAATGTATCTAATGAACATAAATGTAAGAATCCTCAATATAATACTAGAAAATGGAATTCAACAGTATATCAAGAGGATCATACACCATGACCAAGTTGAATTTA